TTTTTTTTGTTTGTTTGTTTTGGGTTGTTTTGTTTTGTTTTTTGAGACAGGGACTTGCTGTGCAGTTCAGGCTAGATTTAAACCCACTACAGGCTGGACTCAAACGCTCAGCAGTCCTCCTGCCTCAGCCTCCCAAGTGCTAGGATCATAGGCACCCACCTCCCACCCAGTGAGGCCAGGTCAGAGGCCCTTTCCTTGCCTGCCTAGCATTAGTCGGCAGGGCGATGACCTTGCCACCTTCCTCGGCGCATTGGCTATTGGCCAGAAGAAACATTTAATTGGATTTCTTTTAAATAGCATCTGATGTTCCAAATGTAACGTGTTGGTTTCTAGAAAATAAACCAAAATACAATATCAGTAACTAACCTAGCATGATCAAGTGTAACAGCCTCCTGCTCTAAATCAGGGGCATAGAACATTCTAGCAGTATGGGGCCGAAGGTGATATATGCAAGGAGACACAGGGGTGATCAAAGTATATGGTCACTGGTTACCTTTTTTTTTTTTTTTTTTTTTTTTGTGCAGGGTCTCACTATGCAACTGTCTTAGTTACTCTTCTCTCATTGCTGGGACAAATACCCAACACTCAAAATGAAGGAAGGAAAGGTTTATTTAGCTCACAGTTACTGGAGGCTTCAGTCCACACTCATCTGGGTCCAACGCAGAGCAGCACAGAGCAGAAAGCAACCTTTCATAGTGGTGTCAAAGAGCAAGAGCGCAAGGGAGGGGCAGCAGCAGCTCATGCAGCTGGCTTCTCTTCCCACCAAGACTGCATGAGGCTCTGGGGGGACACCTAGACACAAACCATAACAGCAACTCAGACACATAGTGATCCTCCTGATTTCTGCCTCCCCAGTGCTGGGATTACAGGCTTGCGCCACCACACCCGGACTCCATCGCCAGCTCAGCGTGCCAATGCGGCGTGCAGTGCCAGGGTTCGAACCCTGGCCCCTGCACTTACCTAAGCACGCACTTAGTCTGCTGAGCTATTTTGCCAGCCCTTATGGTCACTGTTTAAATCAAAAATCTGTTGTAGCAAAATGTAAGTGTTCACACTGGGCCTGGTAGTTCACCCCTGGGACCCCAGCACTGAGGAGGCTAAGGCAGAGGAATGCTCAAGTTCAAGGCCAGCCTGAACTGGACACAAGACCCTGTCTCAAAATGACAAAAACAGATAAATACATTTAGGCATTCACTATAGTTTCTTCCCACACCTCATCTGTATCCTCATCCTCTTACTCCTGTCAGAAGCCCTCCGTTCTTAAACTGTTATTATCCCTATTAATAGTGCCACTAATAGTGATTGCGCAGAAGAGAAAGTCCGTGAACTCAGGCCCTAGAGATAAATGCTATATATAATATTTTCTGGGTTTGGGCTTCTCCCATCAGGATGGAGGCAGCCTTGTAGGAGAAGTCAACGAGGAGGGGGAGATGACTGGAGAGAAGATCGCCTACGTGTACCCTGATGGGAGAACAGCCCTCTACGGGAAGTTCATGGATGGGGAGATGATCGAAGGCAAGCTGGCCACCCTGCTGTCCGTCGAGGAAGGGAGGCCTCACTTTGAGCTCGTGCCTGGAAGTAAGTTGTGCCAGCCTCCAATGGAGGCCAGATTAGAGGCTTCTTCCTTGCCTGCCTCGCTCCCTTCTGGGGTACGTTAGTCAGCTGTGCTGCGCAGTCTCAGCAGCGCGGCCGAGGCCAAGGACAGCGGCATCTTTGATCGACTTTCTCCCAGGGGATCATGGAGGCATCAGAGCACTGCTGTTCACGCAGTGCTCCACAGAGCCGGCCCTTGGAGGTGACACAGTGTCCCTTTCACCCACCCTTCATTGACCAGCAAATCACGGAGCCAAAGTCAGGAGTGAGGGAGAGCGAAAAAGCTCAGGATGCACTTCAGAAAAAGATACTGAATAGGCATGTGACAGGGACACAGATGATTCTGATAGATAGCAGGAACTAAGAGATGGTAGCGGTAATCAAATCTGTTTGCAGTGGTTGTGGCTCCACTGTCGCGTGGTTTAACATTACAGAACCAACGCAGGCAGCTCCGCAAGGCTGTGCACACCGTGCTGCTGGTCCAGCCGAAGCTCTGAGGAGAGAAATACATGGCGGTCTCGGCGTCCATCCAGCGCCAGCCTCTCGAACAGGGCACACACGCGGCAGAATCTTTATTAGAAAAACGTGTTTCCTTTGAGAAACGCAACATGCCACACTAAAACTTTTTTTTTTTTTTGGATATAAATTTATTTTAGCCAGGCACCATGCACGCTTCTAGCCCCTACTACTTGGGAGGCTGAGGCAAGAGCATCAAGGCCAACCTGGGCAACTTATTGAGACCCTGTCTCTTTAAGTTTTTAAAAAGGGCTGGAAATGTAGCTCAGTGGCAAGCATGAGGTCCTGGGTTCAATCCCCCAGTATTTTAAAAAAAATGTAGAAAGCCAGGAAAACTCAGGATCTTGTGTCTTCAGTAGCGAAGCAGAAGAAAGCCAGCTGAATTAGTCTGATTCCTCACAAGCCGTGTCTGCATGTATTTCCAGCCCAGGACAGGTTACAAGGATAAAACAATCAGAAAGATAGTAAGTCAAGGGAATGACAGGCCTACATAGCCACTTGGAATGTGAAGGACAGTCTCCATGGGGAGTAGTCCAAAAACAGGAATTCTCAAGTCTGCATCTGGGTCTAACTTAGGTTGCTTCAAATGTCTCCATTTTTACTTTGTAAGTTAAAAATTGAAGCACTCCAAAAGCAATGTGGGATCCAGGATTGGATCATGGAACAAAAAGAGGACATTAGTGGAAAAGCTGGTGGGATTAAATAGTCTAGGATTTAGTTCATAGTAATGGGTGTGTGTTGGTTTCCTAGTTTTGACAAATGCACCATATCATGTAAAAAGCTAACACTGAGAGAAACAGTGAGAACTCTGTGCTAGTATTATAACTTTTCTGTAAAATTTAAAACTATTCTAAGGGCCAGCCAAATAGCTCAGTGGATTAAAGCGCCTGCAAACAGGCACAGGAGCCAGGGTTCGATCCTAGGGCCTGCCATGCTGATCCCACCCCCCACCTCTGGGGTGCACTGAGCCAAAGATTGAGACTGGGTGTGATAGGCGCCGGCCTGTAATCCCAGCACTTGGGAGGCTGTAAACAGGAGAATCACTTTGAGTCTGATCTAGTAGTAGTGAGACCCTGAACACCCTTAGACCCTGCCCTAAAATACAGGAAAAATAAATTAAATAAATAAATAAAACTATTCCAAAAAGGGAAATAGTCTTTTTAAAAAATAAGCAATAGTCTTTATTTATTTATTTGTGGTACTGGGGATTGAACTCAGGACCTTAGGCTTGCCAGGCAGGTGCTTATGCCCTTGAGCTATCTCCCCAGCAAGCAATAGTCTTTAAACTGTAAGCTCTAGTGTTTGTGCTTTTGACCTTTGTACTGAATGGAAACTTGTATTTTTAGAGATGAACCATGGCATAGGAACAGTCCTAATCGGTTATGCAAATTTAACATAACTGATTAAATTAGTGATCACCACTAGGGACCCCCAGCCTGGGTATGCATATTTTAAAACCTTGTGAATGACAGCATTTTTTGGTGACAAAAGCAAGAATTTAAGAGTTGGCCTATCTGTGATCCTAGCACTCAGAAGGCTGACGCTGGAGGATCCTTCTGAGTTTGAGGCCAGCCTGGGCCACATAGTGCATTCAGGGCAAGTCTGAATTACATAGCAAGACTGTTTCAAAAACACAAAACAGAAAAAAAACAAAACAAAACAAAAAAAAAAAACCCACAAAACAGAAACAAAAAAGAGTTGTCCAATTTGAATCTCAATTCTAACATTTACATATCTTAGGAAAGAATCCACTTCATTATTAAATATTAGCACCTACTGTAAAACAGCATAATGAAATATATTATTGCATTCGTGTCAGTAAGAAGAAGAAACAGATTTTGAGAACAATCATTCTCCAGGTGATGACAGTTTTCATATAATTCCTGGTTGCACAAAGCAAACACCCTCAGATTCATTCAAGGCAAAAGAAAAAAGAAAGAAAGAAAGCAAGAAAGGGCTGCACTTACTGACAGGATTCCGGCAGGCCTGAGATAGTTTCGGAAAGAAGGTCTCAAAGGTGACGACCGCGGATGCAGGGGCTTCCGGAGAACCCGGGGCTGGCGTCCTGCTGACTGGTGGTGAATCAGGTGGGTGTCACGGGGTCAGTGGGTGCGTCCTAGCCAAGGATCACAGAACTTGCGCAGAAGCAAAGGCGTGGACTCCGCGCGCGACCTAGCGAGGCAAAGCAGGACGCGTCGGGGGAGCCCTCCGCCCGAGCGCGCTGCCGGGCGCGGCCGATCGCGCAGGCGCAGAGCCTAATCCGGCCCTCGGCGCGCGGCGGGCACGAGTGCGCACGCGTGAGAAGGCGCGGAAGGGCGCGGGAGGATGCCCACACCGCTCGGATTCCGCTCGAAGCTTCGGTTTAGTAGGCCTGGGGCTGTAGTTCAGTGGTAGAATGCTGGTTTACCATGCACAGAGCCTGGGTTCAACCCTGGTAGAAAAGTAAGTTGTTCTTTAAAAAAAAAAGTTTTCTTTTTTGAACCAAATTCCTTTCGTGGTTCTCTGCTGCTCCCTGACTCCGCTCTCAGATCTCTGCCTCACTCCTTCTCTGCCTGCTTCTAGTGCAGGCAGCTTCTGCAGAAGCCTGGCTTTTGTCCAGCTTGGGCAGAGGGATCCCCGACTCCATCCCCCACCTGGAAAGCCCGCCGTTGCCGGCCACCCCAGCTCCAGAGCGCAGGTGCCAGCGCCTCTTTGTTCCTCTGGCTCGGGGTGGCGCCTTCCAGCCCCGGCACAACTCCTTAGCGAGGCCCTTCGCTGCTTCCGGTTTGGTCTTAGCCGCTCTGCCCCGCGTGTAAGCAGTTCCCTGAGCTACCTTGTCTCCTTTGGAAATACTGTGTGTGTGTGTGTGTGTGTGTGTGTGTGTGTGTGTGTGTGTGTGTGTTACCAGGGATTGAACTCAGGACCCTGCGCTTGCCAAGAAAGCACTTATTCTACTGAGCCATCTTGGTCTATTTCCTAGATAGACGCAAGCTGATTGGGACTGTTTCTAACTTACTTTGAGACATTAGTTTGGGTTTGGATTATACAAGAACACAGACCTGGTAACCACCAAAGAATTACTTAGTAGGATTATTAATAGTGTCTCGGTGCCTTAAATAATTTACTTGCAGGAGTAAACCCTCTGGTTCCAAATCTTATTTCTTCGTTTATTATTCTTCAGAACATCGTATGTCTTCATTGTGCTCTGAGAGGATTCTCAAGGGCTAATCCTTTGCTTAGGGCCAACAGTAACAGTCATAGAACTTTCTGGACTGGGGCTGGGGAGATGGCTCAGTAGAATAAATGCTTGCCTGGCAAGCATAAGGGCCTGAGTTCAATCCCTGGTTCTGACAAAATAAATAAAATTAGGGATTTAAAAAAAAAAAAACTTTCTGGACTAAATTATTGGTTGGGTTCTGAAGTACTGTTAATAGAAATGAAAGTACTTTGTTAATGCTAAATCCCAAGTGGTGCTGTTCTCTCTGATTGTGGTGAGGCTGAGTGTTTATTCTTAGGGATGGAGGCAATATCAGGCCTTAGATTTTACAGACTGAGTCAGGCATGAAGAAAGCCAAGAGAAAATTTAAAACTGATTATCCAGGGGCTGGTAAGATGGGTCAGCGGTCTAAAGCACCTGCTTAGGCAAGCGCAAAGACCTCGGCTCCATCCCCAGCACTGCATCCCATGCCAGCCCCTCCTTAGGGTGGGCTGAGCTGGCCACACACACACACACACACACACACATCATTATCCAGTTGACACAACCAGGAAGATCTGAAGATTCAAAGTAGAAGCTAAGGTGTGCATTGTTTCCCTGAAGCTCAGGCATGTGGAAGAGAAAAGGAATTTTCTTGAGTAAAAATATTAAATACACAAACTTTTTTTTTTTTTTTTTTTTTTTTGTACCAGGGATTGAATTTAGGGACTGTGCTTGCTAGGCAGGTGCTTAAACTGCTGAGCTATCTCCCTGGCCCCTAAACATCTTTTCAAGTATTTGAAGAAATAAAAGTCAAGAGGATGAGAATTTTAAGAAACAGGGAAAAAAAGAAATAGATCTGATGGCTATTTCTTAAGAAATGGAAATTAAACTAGTAGACACAGTGCTACATGCCTGTAATTCTAGCACTCTGGAAACTGAGTCAGGACAATTGCCACTTGAAGGCCAGCCAGGACAACACTGCCAGTTCAAGGCCAGTCTGGACAACATAGTTTCAGAAAGCCAAAACAGACAGACAGTAAAATCAAAGAGTAAATGTGACAACCATCTAGCTAAATGGATGAGCTGCAGTTTTGTTGGTGTAACTGCATTGAAACCTGTAGTTGCTTAGTTCTTTCTTGTCTCAGCAATAAAAAGACGTGTTTTAAATGCTCCTAGCTGGCTCTGTCCCTGCTCTGACATTTTGATTTACCTCCCAGGTTCCACGTACCACTTTGACAAGTCAACTTCATCTTGCATTTCTACCACTGCTCTTCTTCCAGACCCCTACGAGTCTGAGAGGTAACTTTTGCTTTATAGTCTTGACTGCTTGGGTAGGTTTACAGCCCTGGAATGAAGCTCTAGATAGAAAGACCACTGGGCCAGGCAAGTACACCCCTGCTGTATCCTCTTCTTAAGACTCTGGTACCACACGGGTGCTGTAGTCACTCCCTACAGCTCTGCCCAGGCCAACTTGTAACACCTGGATCATGAGGTGATTTCCTGCGTTAGAGATGACAAGATTGAAATGAAGGAAGTATAGAAAGCACAAAAACATACCAGCCTATGAGTAACCCAGCTCTGAACCTGTATTCTCACTCCCAGAGGGTCCTGTGTCCTATTTCCTGTCTGACCTGCGAGGATGATGGCAGCACTCAGAACTCCCTTCTTGGTGTGGCTTCCACTGGTAGCCTGGAGTTCTTAGAGTAAGGTGCCCTCTGGGCTTGGTTTTTCCTTTGCCTCATTCTTTGTCTCTCATTCCATTTCTGTTCCTATCTAGGAACCTGGCTTCTTTCTTGGCCTGACTGACAGGGCTGGCTGCACAGTGTCACAGGGAATGAATGGCCTCTTTTTTTTTTTTTTTAAGATACCGGGGATTGAACTCAGGACCTTGCACTTGCCAGACAAGTGCTTATTCTACCGAGCTATTTCCCCGGCCCTTGAATGGTCTCTTTTGATAGACAACTCTGGCCCAATTGCAAAGGAGAGGATTAAATCTCTTTGTTAACCCCCAAAGCACAACAGTCTTAACTGCATGGGTCAGTGTTGTCTGGTATTGTTATTGTGATGATTCTGCATAGCAGTTCCCTCAAAGCGATCAGTGGTTTACAAAAGCACACATTTTCTGTCACCCACATTGCTCTGTGGGTTGGCTGAGGTTTAGCCACTTTTGAATGAGATCTACTAGGCCTGGCCTGACTGGCCAGACTCCAGGCTTCAAGTTGGGTTCAGGTCTGTTTCAGGTGTCTTCATGCCAAGCCTGGCCCCATGGGAACACCAGCCCCAGCGGCTTGCTCTGCTGGTAGAAACTCTGAAGAGGTTGGCAGGAACTTAACTCCTGCGACTTAATGTGCATTCACCTCTGCCCAAAGGCCACAAGCAAAGCACCTCCTGTGGCCACCACAGAGTCAGGAGCTCAGGGACTGAGCTCATTAGCTTCCCAGCATTGTGACCAAACCCCTGAGACAGGTCCAGGAAGAAGGATTTATCTTAGCTAGAAGTTTCAAAGGTTGCAGTCTGGAGTCACTTGGCTGCATTGTGTCTTGGCCTGCAGTGAGACAGAATGTCACAGCAGGATATGCAGGGCACAGCAAGGCTGCCCAGATTATGGTGGCCAGGGAGCAGAGAGCTCTCACGAGCAAAAAGGGCCTGAGAACTAGGTAGAGCCCAGGAGGCAGCCCCTCCTCAAGGGCCCACTTCCTGCTCTGAGGCTCCACCTCCTCAGTTCTTAGCGTCACCCCATTGACTTGTGAATCCATCAATGGACTGATCCATTGATCAGTGCTCCGTGACCCAGTCACCTTCCAGAGGCCCCACCTCCCAACACTGCTGCCTTAGGACCACGCCTTCAGCATAGGAGCTTCAGGGGACACTTCAGATCTGAATCATCACAGGAAAGTCCACCCTACCACTCTGAGGGAGGCAACACAGGGCTGCACGGCAGAATGGCAGGCTATGTCATTCTGTCAGAGGGCAGGGCTGGAATGAGAAGTGGTAATTCAGTCCATGACATAAGAATAAATTATGGACGTGAGGGCGATCTGGCTGCGACATCTGTCACCCCGCTGATCACCAGGGTTGATTCAGTTGATCTGGCTGGCGAGGTGGGTGTCCCCTTCCTCCCTCAACGATCCATGTGCGTCCCTCCCAAAGCTGCGCACTCGGTTGAAGAGCACGATCACCCCCGATAGAGGAGGACCGTTCCTCGGTCAAGGGTATATGAGTAGCAGCGCTCCCCTGCTAGGACCTCCCCCCAAGCTCTCAAGAATAAATTCCACATAATAAAAATTACAGATGATGGGTCCTGCAGGGTCTTCCATCTGTGTCCAAAGAACTGAGAGCATGGCGTGCTCTGCTGTGAAGTCCACTCCATAATCATGAGTGCCATTTTGTCTTCTTAGAAACCACTGGTTGGCAATTTCTTGTCTAGTAAGGGCCACATAGCCAATATTTTAGGCTTTGTAGGCCATGTGATGTCTGTCGCAACTACTCAGCTCTGCCTTTGTAATACTGCCGCAGTCACAGAGTACTAACCAAATAGGGTAGCTGCATCCCATAAATGTAATTTAAAAGTCCAGGAATGGTGGTAGATAGCTATGACCCCAGCACTCAGGAGACTGAGGAACAGGCATTGTGAGTTTGAGGCCAGGCTGGACTACACAGTGAGAACCTCTCTCACCAAACCAAACCCAAGAAAACTTAACTTTAAAAAACGAACCAGAGACAGATTTGAACCTTGGGGCCTTCGTTAGCCCTCTGTTAGGAAGTTTGCGTTGGTTGTATTCTGCTGCTTGTCACTCGTTTCTGTAAAAGATTCATCCTAGGGGCTGGAGAGATAGCTCAGTGGACCAAGTGCTTGCCTGACAAGCACAAGGTCCTGAGGTCAATCCCTGGTACCACCAAAAAAAAAAAAAGGCGGGGGAGAGAGAGATTCATGCTGGGGTTGAATGAAAGCAGTCTTCCTTTGTCAAGCAGACATTGACAAATGCAGGTCTGGCTTTAATTTGGAAGGGGTTTTATCTGTCCAGTAAGATTAGAAGTTGTCATTACTGTCATTTTTTTCTGTAAAAAAAGTTTATATCAACTACTGAATAACTCTGTGAGTATACTATATATATATATGTCTCCTTACTAGAGAATTCTGAACATCACTCTTAGAAGACATAAAGCTGCCATTTCTTCCATTCCCCATGCTAAAATATTGCAGTTTAACTTCTTCCTCCCTTCCTCCTTTGGAGTACTAGGAATGAACGCTTGACTGTAGGAAGACGGTAGGACTCCATGATTGGCATAGCAGACGTGTCTCACTGAAGTCCTTGCTCGGCTCTCTTCCGCTTAGGGTGTATGTGGCGGAGTCTCTCATTTCCAGTGCAGGGGAAGGACTGTTTTCCAAGGTGGCCATGGGACCTAACACTGTTGTGTCTTTTTACAATGGAGTCCGAATTACACACCAGGAGGTGAGTGTTGAAGAAATGTGGTTGGTACCAAATGAAGTCCCTCTTGGGTTCCTTTCTACTTCACATGAAGTGGAGAGTGCCTCGGTGAGACAGGAGCTGCCCCCTAGCAGACAGCATCTACTGTGAGAAGCTGGGGGGCCAATCAGGTTGTCCCTAGCTATGTAATGATCAGGGACAGAGTGCATGGGAAGTGGAAGGTTCCCCACTTCCGTTGGTACAAAAGCCACATGATAGCCTTTGTCTTGTTAAGACAACATCTAGTTTCAAAACATTAACAATAGGGGCCGGGGAGATGGCTCAGTAGAATAAGTGTTTCTCTGGCCTGAGTTCAATCCCCAGTTCTGTCAAAAAAAAAATTAACAATAGAACATTAAAGAGTTGAATGAATCACTGCTGGCCTTTTAGACACAGTCCTGGATAGATTTCCAAAACTTCATGTAAGGTTGGCTTATTTATTCTCTTTGCAATTAACCCCTAAGCATCTTCCCAAGGGCAGAAGTTTGAAGCTTTCAGCACAGCAGGTGAGCTGGGCCCCTGCTCACTTTCTGTGAGGGGTGTGAGAGCTGGACTTGTGGCTCAATTAGTGGTGGCATTTTCTCACTTACTGCTGTGGAACAGTAGGGGGAGAGATGTGGCAAAATAGTCCTCTTACAGCCCCGCCAAGCAGTGACCAGGCGGAGGAGGGCAGTGTGCTCAGGCTGAGCGGACCTCATCCGCATTCCAGAGCTCCAGACCACCAATGTCGAAAAGGTGGCTTCCAGGTGATGCCTGGGATCCATTGAGAATCTTCTGTGTAAAAGACTTGGGGCTGGGGCTGGAGAGATGGCTCAGTGGTCTAAAGCACCTACTTGGAACAAGCTTGGCAAAGCACAGGGACCGCGGTTCAATCCCCCAGCACCACATGCCAGCCAGCCCCGCCCCCAGGTGGGCTGAGCTGGCCACACACACACACACACACACACACACACACTAAAGGAATAAATAAATAAATAATTTAAAATAAAATAAAATAAAATAAAAGACTTGGGGCTTAAAAAAAAAAGACTTGGGGCTTCCCCGGTTCCACCAAAAAAAAAAAAAAAAAAAATAAGACTTGGGGCTAGAAATGGGGGACTTGGGGCTTTGTTTTGTTTTCTGGATTTTGGGGTATTAAATAACAAGCAATCTTTTTCTTTTTTTTAATTTTATTTATGTATGTGTGTGTGTGTGTGTGTGTGTGGCCAGCTAGCCCACCAGGGGGTGGGGCTGGCTGGCATGTGGTGCTGGGGGATTGAACCGCGGTCCCTGTGCTTTGCTAAGCTTGTTCTAAGGGTGCTTTAGACTACTGAGCCATCTCACCAGCCCATGAGCAATCTTAAGAATGGAACCCAGGTATAAATGTGAAACTCATCTCTATATCTTTCTCATACACCTTAGACACACAATCAGGAGGTAACTTTTATTTTTCTTTTATTTGAGACAGGCTCTCACAAAATTTGCCCAAGCTAGGCTTACACTTGCAATCCTCCTGCCTCAGCCTCCCAGAATGTTCAGATCACAGGCAGGTACCATCATACTTGGCTTCATCTACTTCTGTTTATTTTTTGGGGGGGTGCTAGGGATTGAACTCAGGACCTTGCACTTGCTAGGCAGGTGCTTATGCTGCAGAACTATCTCCCAAGCCATTCATCTACTTTTAATCTGCCATACTTTTGGGTCTTTCTAAGGGATCCAATCCTTCTTTCCTACGTAAAGTGAGGAACAATAAGTTAACTGAAAGTTAAGCTGCCTGGCTGCCTCTTCCGACATGGAGAGGAGTCTTGGATCTCATTCATGGCTAGGATGTTCAGACCAGGAAGTTTCAGGACCCGTGAGTGAGGCTCTCTGGCTCCCTGGAGCGTGTGAGAGAGCTCATAGCCTGCTGTCCTTTCCCACAGGTTGACAACAGGGACTGGGCCTTGAATGGGAACACCCTGTCCCTGGATGAGGACACAGTCATTGACGTGCCTGAGCCCTACAACCTCGTGTCCAAGTACTGTGCCTCCTTGGGACACAAGGCGAATCACTCCTTCACTCCAAACTGCATCTATGATGTGTGAGTAGACCACGGTGCTGGGCAGGGCTGGGCCCTTGGGAGGACAGAGAAGGGCAGCTGAGGGTGTCCCTAGGCTCCTGTCAGATAGAGGTTGGTCCCCAGAGAAACTAGAGGGCTTGTGGCATGGGCCTCCAGGTTTCACGTTAAAACTCAAGATCTACACATTCCCCTCCCTGCCCTGCCCCCCCCCGCGCCGCCATTTTGTTGCTGCTGGCATTGCCTTTTAGGTTTCCTCATTCACAGGTAGTGTTGAGGCGGGAAGCTAACTCAGTGGTAGCACAACCAGCGAGTGTGACTGCTGTTGTGGGTGTGATCCCCAGCACTGAGAAAAAGGAAGGGGAGGGGTTTTGTTAGTCATTTTTTCATGGTTTGAAAAAGTACCTGAGGGCCGGGGAAATGGCTCAGTAGAATAAGTGCTTCCCTGGCAAGCGGTAGGGTCTGAGTTCAATCCCCGGTTCTGCCCAAAGAGAAAGAAAAGAAAAAGTACCTGAGCAAGACGCCCTGGAGGACAAACGCTGCGTGAGCTCCCACTTTCACGGTTTCAGCTGTGGTCAGTGCTCAAACGCTGAAGGCTGCGCAGAGGCAGAGTGTGGGGAAGGGTGTGGCAAGGGAAGCTGGGAGAGGAGGGGTCCAGAGGGGCCTGGGGACAAAGTGTGCCTTCGAAGCCACACTCTTGGGAATGGCCTTATCCAGTTAATCCCAGTTTCCAGGGAGCCATGGAGCTATGACCTCTTCCCTGGAGTTGGGGTTCTCAAGGGGCCACCACTTCCCAAAGCCTCATCCTTCCCCGAACTGTTATGCAGACCCTTCTCAACAAGGTCCCCGCCGTGTGAGCCAGGCGCAGCACATGGCATCCAAGCCACAACAACAGGGTTTAAAATAGCAGAAAAAATGGAAGCTGCAAGTAGCAGCCCACAGCTGTAATCCCAGTGCTTGGGAGGCTGAGGCAGGAGGATCACCATGAGTTCAAGGCCAGCCTGGGCTACATAGTGGGTTCAGGCTGGGCTTTCAGGGTGCAGGAAGACCCTGTCTGAAAAAAGTAAAGCCAAAACAAAAATAATGGAGAAAAGGAAATGCTTTTAAGATATGAAAGGAAAAAGGGCATATTTTCTGTGGCCTCAATCCATAGAGACCGCAGTTGGGGCATGAAGGCAGGCACCTCCGGGGTCTGCAAAAGGCACCTCAGCTGAAGGCCTCATCTTTCCCCATAGAAAAATGTTTCATCCCTCAGTCAGGTGGGTTGCAGCTTTGCCCATGGAAATCATTCCAGAGCAGGCAGGTGCCACCTCCCCAAGGCAAAGAGTGGCTGGCTTCTCGCTTAAGCACAGATTTCTGTTGTTGACCCTGATTATTGCTTTATAAGCACAGCACCAAATGCACTCAAAAAGGAAGACCAAGCACATAACAGGTGCTGTTATGTGTATCTGTGATCTCAGCGCTGAGGGAGGCTGAGGCAGAATGGCAAGTTGCAGCCCAGCCTTGGCAGCTTAGCAACTTAACGAGATGCTGGTCTCAAAATGAAAGGGGATGGGGGTGTAGCTCAGAGTGAAGGACCTGGGTTCAATCCCCAGCGCTTCCCCCCCCAAAAAAAAAGAAATTGGGGGGAGCAGTGCTTTTCACACTAGAATGTTCCAGTCAGTTGGTCACCTGGATGGACAGCGTCCAGCCCAGCAAATCCAGGGCACCAAGCTGCCCAGGTGTGGCAGGTCCCAGGTGGGAGACACCAGCTGACCTGCATCCACACAGTCTAGGGTGGGCAGAAGGGACTCTTGCGCCAGCCCCTGGGGTGCCTTTGCCATTGGCGTGCTTCGTCTGGCGCAGGAATAACCTTGTCACCCTAATGTCTAGGTTTGTCCACCCCCGTTTTGGGCCCATCAAATGCATCCGCACGCTGCGAGCTGTGGATGCCCACGAGGAGCTCACTGTTGCCTATGGCTACGACCACAGCTCCCGAGGCAAGAACGGGCCCGAAGCCCCTGAGTGGTACCAGCTGGAGCTGAAGGCCTTCCAGGCCAGCCAGCAGAAGTGAAAGGTGTGGCTTGGGCCTCCAGAGACCTGGAGTAGAAACTTGGATCTATGCACTCCATTGACCCAGTGATGACAGGACAACCAGGGACTGCTTGTGCTGTGACGTCACATCTTCTCACCTGCGTCAGCAACAACCTTCTCGCATACTAACAGGTTTGACTGCGTTACTCATACCAGATGTAAAATTAGCTAGCCTCGAAACCACGGCCCCCCCCCGAGAGGTGGCGTGGAGCCCTCGGCGCCCACAGCATGAGGTCCTCCAGTGGTTCGCGCCTAAGTCGGTACCGCCTTCAGAGATCCAAATGAGACTGCAAAAGGGAAATAGGCTTTTTGGCCACTTTTGTGGTTTTTCCATAACTTTTCCTATGGCCAATGCAAATTAGGCTGTCACTTGCATATGGGCCGTCTCAAAGTAGAGAACTACTACATCTTTATTCTCTAAGTATAGTATCATTTGCCTTTTAACCTTTGATCTGTATCTTGCAATAGAATGGCTTCGTTTTTTCCCCAGTGAGCAGAAGCCCACTTTCAAGTCATTTCTTCAGTCCTGTCCCCTACCCTAGATTCCTGTACAAGAGAAAACCTCCCATGGATTCTGCATCCGTGGCAGTGTGAGGCCTCTCTGGTTCTTTCTACATCATTATTTCATCATTATGTCCTAATAGAAAGTACTGGCTCCTAGGGCCGGCCTATTATTATAGAACTATTATTCTCGCATGTAAACAAAGGTATCTTTGCTTTCCTATGTGAGAAGAAATGAATTTCCTTTGTCTGCATTAAATTATGGAAGAGCTGTAATATATACCTTGAGAAAGAAGAGAGGACAATTAGTATTTCCCTGCAGTAACTGTGGCAATTTTGCAATATCCTCAATAGTGCTGGTAAGTTTTTCTCCTTGGGTACACTTTAAATGTACATAACCTAGTGCAGTCTGGCTTGTGGTGCAGTGCATTGAATTCAGAAGTCAAATAGCAAACTTGAATTCTAATGCAGAATGCACAAATTTCTTTTAAATCAATACTATAAAGACAAACATACTGATCACTAGGCACAGATCAAGCCCTAATGCTGAAACTCTTCCTTGTAATTTTCCAAGTCCTTCCCTGCGTCAGAGCATTGTAAGCTAAATGTTCACACCTGCGTAGTTTAAAAGCAACAGCATAAATAGCATTTCAGCCGTTTTGCAAGCCATGTGTAATCACAACTGCAGAATAAGGAGAAAACCCCTGTTTTTAGTTTAGCATACTAGATCTGTGACATAACTGGGATTGCTCTGAATGCGTTCTGAGATTTGGGGATTTTTATGAGCACCCTCAGCACACGCTGTGGTTTTTAACTTCTCACCACATGGGCATGAAGGCCGGGAACTCTGGGAGCGGCATTTGCTCTGAGCTGCAGCCGTCAGTTTGCCTGTGGTAACAGACTGTGAGCCCCAGGAGCGAGAGAGGCTGCCGGGATGGGGAGAGGGGAGCGAGCTGCTTCTTGGCTGCTCATTGCTCTTAAAAGGCCTGCTAAGGAAAGTACTTGATGTGCCCAGCTTCTGGGAGGGATTTAGCCCTGCAGGCCGGACTTGTGCCCTCCCCTTTTCCAAGGGCAGGGCTTCCTGGTCGTCAGATCCTGCTTGAAAGCTCAAGGGGATCATTCACCCAGGAAAGAAAGGTGTCAGGGCTTTCAGAGAGATCTCCCACACAAGGACCTTCATGGTGTATTTTGGTTATGAGTCACCAGGATAGGATTGCTTCTATTCTGCAGAAAGAGACCGCCCTGTAAACTGTGACCAATGAGGATCTCCAGATGTGTGTTCTGACAGGTGCTGTAAGTGTATCCCAGAGTGAATGACTGTTGTCCCCATCAGCTGGGCAGTGGAACCACATCCAAACTGTGGCAGATTCCCAGCAGTAGGGAACAAACAAATGCTGTCCCCAGAAGAGCTCGAGCCTGGGCGTGTGGGCGACGCCATGTCTCGGCACTCTTTCCGAGCTGTCCCAGTCTGACCCCTGCATGACTAAATCTCCTCTTAGCATCTTCTCTAGGATGAAATATTGTCTTGTGTTAGAGTTAGGAATAGGAACTAACTGGCAAGGGCACGTCCCCAGATGGCTTTCGTGCGGACTAACAAAACAACCGTAAGGACTGAATTTCCGGCACAAAGGAACAAGGAGTTAAGAGGCAGTGGCATGGAGGGCTTGGCACTTGTAGGGCCTACTCTTATTTCAGCCTGCCTCACCCCGGTCTCCCAGAGCAGCCAGAAAGGAAATTCATTTCTCAAGCCCTTTGGGCCCAGCCCGGGCTGGAGTTGACCTCTTTGCCCTCTGGATCTGGAGTTCATCACTCTTGAGAAACTATTTCCTTATCACCAGAAACCAGAAAAGGCCAGCACAGCCCAGTGTAACCATTTGTGACATTGAATTGAGGCCTTACGTGGCACTGGGCCGGCGGACGGCGTGTAGCTTAGTGGAAGCCCTCACCTGCATGCCTGAGGCCCTAGGCTTGACCGCCAGCACCACAAACAAAAATAAAGTTGCATTAACTGTGAACAGTGAATAAGAGTTTGTCTTAGTGAGACAGTATGTGGCACTTTCATTTAAAAAATAAAACTTTTAAGTCACTCGCTGCAAAATGCATTTAAAATCTTCCAAAAAGGGAGAGATGGAATTCTCTTGATTTGTTTTTAGTTGCCTCAAAGTTTGTCTTAAGAGTAGTGATTTAGAATCCAGACATCTTTTGTTTTAGAAAAACAAGCAAAACTATGTTGCAAGATGGATAGTTAAGTTTATTTGCCACAGATCAAAGGTTCATGAAATACATTAAATTTATACCTACTTTTGAGGTAAACATTGATAGATTTTCTTCTCTTGGGTTTTTTTTTTACCCCTTCAGGAATTTGGATTCTTGATGTCAGGATTTTGTTTTGGTTAATTTTAAAGATACCAAATTTTCAAAGTTTTCTTTTGTTAAATGTGTGCATACATATTCAAAGCAATGAAGCAATTTCAAGCCATACAACCACAGGGGTGGAAGCCCTTTTCACAAATTTTAATGTGTTTGTATATAAATAGACGTTTGTATGAAATATTTTCATGGTAGAATGAATATATTTAAATGAAGTTGAATTTACTCCAGTGCTATTTAAACACATCACAAAAATTTTTGGTGAGAATTCTCTGAGTCTGTTGAGATACAATGCAGATCAATTTTGATTTTTAAAAATCAAAGCCTACAAATCACTCTTGACTGGTGGCGAGCCGGTGGAGAGAGCTGTAGGCTTCCCAGTGCCTCCGCCGCTTCCTGGTGGTAAGTTCGGTGCTAACAGAGGTACGCTCACCTTGTGCGATCTCACCGTGGGCCCAGGGCCTGGGAGTGGGTCCAAGGCGGTCGGGACCCGGTGCGGTTATCTGGAGCACAATTTATTCGCAGGGCAGCAGAATCCGAAGCCAGACTCGGCCGGGACCCTTGGAGATGGGTCTCCAGCCACCATCACCTGCCACCCTACTGCCCAGCCATACGGCAGGGAGGCTGCCCTCAGTGGAGTTGGGGTCCAGACCCCAGGTGGGACCTCGGGGTTTCGCCAGCCACCTCTGCCCACAGCCCCTACCTCCAGAGAGGGGGACAGAGGAGCAGCTGCTGGCCAGGGCCCAGCCCTCAGCACACTTCCTGTCTCCACTCTGGATGACCCATACACCTCGGCACCAAACTTTCAACCAGAGAGAGAGAGGCGTCCTCAGATCCCAGAGCCGTGGCTGCCTCTGTCTGTGACTGGACACATGGGCTGCAGCCATCTGCGTCCCTGCAACGTGGCTCCCGGCCCTCCTGACTCCTGTTCCTGGAAAAAGCAAATTCCTTTCTAATGCCATTTGACTTGAGTGAGTTGTTTTTGTTTTGTTTTGTTTTTCCCTTTGGGTCCTGGATATAATGAAATGATGATTATGATGACAAATGTTCACTGTGTATCCTAGCAATATGAACACACATGCCAATGTATCTAACCTATCTACTCGGTTACATTTTGCATTACACTAGAATTAATCTTGATTCACAGATGGAGAAACCAAGGGACTATGGAACGACTGCTTATTGTAGAAGGAAGTTGCGTCCATGGTTCTGAGCTCCCTCCCATGGAAGTTTTTCCTCTTGGGTTTTCTGTGTTCTCTTTTAATCCTGAAATGCATTTATTAGGTTGAGAGGGTTATGTTTCTGGGGTGACAGACAGGGGTCTGCTTTCGGCTTTTGTTGAACCAAGAGCGAGCCCTATCACAGTCAACAGTCATCTTTGGTCTTTTGTGGAATTTGAACTAAATCTATGAGCCTTATTCAATACCTATAATTCTATGGTTTTTTTTTTAATTATGGGAAATTAATGGAAGATGTTTACATGAGTAATGTTTGCCCTTACTGTGTTATGAATGAGTTTTTTGTAGTGTGTCTGGGTGCATGTGCAAGAGAGTAGGAAAACTGTTTCTGAAACAAAACTTGACAAATATTTGTAATGAAAAGTAAATTTAAAGATTGCTATAATTGCGCTATAGAAACAATGCAAGTATTAAACAAAATACACAATCATCTGTCATTGTCTTTCTTTGGTCACCTGAGACCTAAAAGCAGTCATGATTTTCTTCTGATGTGCTTGCCTGTAGATCTGAATTACTGAACACACTTGGAGATTGTTTAGTGGTAGCAGGCCTGTACCGTTTCCAGAACATTCTGGGACGAGCTGAGGGGTGGAGGATGGCGAGGGCCTTGCTGTGCAGCTGACAGGACTCCACCGACTCCTGCATCACCACAAGGCTGGGAGTATCTGACTGAAAGCACAGATCCAAAGGCAATAGCAATTCATGGTGGAAAGAAAAGGTGAAAGCGTGGTGCACCACCGTGGTAGACGTGGGCTATGTTGGACATGTCTGGGCAGAAGAAACCAGGAACCTCTTCTTCCCGAATCACAGCCCCTGTACCCAGGCTCCCCTCCAGGACCCTAAGGCAAGTGACAGGAAGGCAAAGAGAACCTTAGGGTGGCAGGAACTGGGCCGAGCTGGGCCTCAGAGTGGAGCAGGCCGCAAGGCCTCCTGCTTTATTTTATCTCTCTATTGCCCGATCCCAAGTCAAAGCACACTGCTCAGGAAGGAAAGACGCTGAGATGAGGATGATGATTTGAGTCCGAACATGTTGGGGAGGCTCCTTCACCTCCACAGAGACATTCAGAGGCAGGCTCTGCGGGCCAGGCCAGTCCTCCAGGGCACAGGTCAGATCACAACATCAATATTCCTCTTCTCTGGGAAGAAGGAGGCAGGATTCACAAATGAATACGAACTAAAATAATTAAAAAGCTACGCTAGCCAGGCGTGGACACTGTGGCACACACCTGTAATCCCAGCACTCAGGAGGCTGAGGCAGGAGGATCCTTATAAGTTTGAATCCAGCCTGGGCTACAAAGTGAGTTCAAGGCCAGCTTGAGCTGCATAATGAGACCCTGTCTCAAAAAAAAAAAAAAAAAAAAAAAAAAAAGTGCTAAACTCAAGCTAAAACCAGGCAGCCTGGGGCTGGTGAGATGGCTCAGTGGTCTGAAGCACCTATTTAGAGCAAACAAGCTTAGCAAAGCACAGGGACCGCGGTTCAATCCTCCAGCACCACATGCCAGCCAGCCCCGCCCCCTGGTGGGCTGAGCTGGCCACACACACACATAAATAAATTAATTAATTAAAAAAAAAATAAATAAAATAAAGCACCTACTTAGAACAAGCTTAGCAAAAAGCACAGGGACCGCGGTTCAATCCCCCAGCACCACATGCCAGCCAGAACGCCCCCTGGTGGGCTGAGATGCAGCCTTCACACACTGGGATGGCTGGTGGGGGCCAGAGGGCCACAGCACAACCTCCTCGGGCACCTTCAAGTCCAGCGAGGTCACACTTTGCACACATGCTTGCTGCTGTCCCTGGCTTTGGGCCTGGATCCAAATTGCCTGGCCTGCTGGTTGACACCCTGGAAAGATTTCTGCACCTACTGGTTCATACCCTGAGGATTTCCATACTTTCCTCTAGGGCCAGGCCATTCAAAAGCGCTGGTTGTTTTAGGCCATTTTCTTTTGCTATAACAAAATCCCAAAGGCCTGGTATATACAGTTAATATACCAGTTTATTTGGCCCACAGGGCTGGGGCTGGGAGCGCACAGTGCTGGCCTCTGCACTTTCTGGCCAGGCCTCCTGCTACACGGACACAGCAAAGGCAGGTCAGCTGAGAGTGTTTCCCTTCTCGCTGGTACTGGAGACTGAGCCTAGTACATTCCTACTGAGCTACTTGCAATCCCCTGCCCTCTTCTGCCTCTTATTTTGAGACAGAATTGTCCTAAGTCACTAAGTTACTCAAACTGGACTTGAACCCAAGATCCTCCTGCCTCAGCTTCCCTCAGAGGGCTGAGCTTACAGGTGTGCTCCACCTCCAGATACCATCAGGGTATGACCTTGGAATTGTTGCCAACACATTCAGGCCACAGCACAGACATCTAGTTTCAACTCAGAGTTGTTCAATAAGAAGGTTCTGCTCCAAAGATGTTGCAGGAAGGGGCTATCCCTACCCCCACAGTTTTTTTGGATGCTGGAGCTTGAACCAGAGTGCATTGAGCTACAGATCCAAACAGCTTTTCCTGAAGTTTTCTTCGTGAAAACCAAAAACCAGGGATTTGAACTCAGAACTTGACGTTTATCACATGCGGGACAGAGAAAGGGACTTGCGGGGTAACCCTGTGTTACCACACTTATCCTTCTGCAAGTGTCAGAAGGCTTGCAGCCTCAAACACCATGAAGACCCACTTCACTTGGCTTCCGTGTGAAGGTTCAGTGTCTCATGTAACGAGGCCCCACGGTTTGTTAGCTCAACACCACAGCCAAGGTCTTTGCATCTTCCTGTTCTGCAGTCCTCAGCGTATTAGGTTTGCCCTGGGGTTAGCTCACCTCACAACCACAATCTGGCTGCCCCTGTCCAGCCATCACAGCCACACGAGGCACCTGCCATGGAGGAAGCTTTAGCAATTCACTAACAAAGACCATGCGACATGCTGAATATCCAAGTGATACATATGGCTGTGGGGAGGGTAGAGGGCCAAAGCTGGGACCCCCCCCCCATGGAAGAAAGGAAACCATGTTCAGGCTGATCACCCCACATCTGCCTCATCTGCATTGTAGATTTTGTTCTGGTTTTTTTTTTTCCTTTTCTTTTTTGGCAGAGTGGAATATTGAACTCAGGCCCTTGCGCTTGCCAGGGAAGCACTTATTCCACTGAGCCATCTCCCTGGCCCCCTCTGCTTTTCATCTTGCAGAGGCAGGGCAGAGGGTGTGTGTGCTGGGATCAAACCCAGGGCCTCACACCCGCCTGTGTGGGTTCTACCCTGAGCTACACACCATCCTGCCTGCTGTCTTCAAAGAAGGGAATCTTAGTGCCTTCAAGTAAGCCAGATAGGTGGATTTTTTTTTAATGAATTCCAATCCACTCAGAGGATTTGCCTGTGGAAGCTGGGAAGGAAGTTCCACATGATTTATTTAACTACATTTTACCTGTTTATTTACTTTTTAATATTTATTTGCTACAGGGTCTTACTAGCAGCTCAGACTCATAGTGTTCCTCCTGTGTCAACCTCCCCAGCGCTGGGATTGCAGGCCTGCACCACCACATCCAGTCTAGGTGGCCAAAGCAACATTCCCCTGGGGTTCTGGGGTCTGCACATCATGCAGGATCAGGGATCAAGCCTGGGTCCCAGGCAGGTGTTTAGACCACTGAGCTATCTCCTCAGCCCATTTTACTTGTTCTAGATTACTCATTTAACCATATGATATAGGCACTGTTGTCTACCTATTTTATTTTTTTATCCTCTTGTCTACCAATTTTAAAGGGGGAAAACTGAGGCACAGAGATGTTAAGAACCTTTCGTTAAATAACAGCCACAGAACTAGGGAGTAGCAGCCAGGTATTGTGCATGCCTATGATGTCAGCCCTCAGGAGACGGAGGCAGGAAGATCCCCAAGAGTTCAAGACCAGCCTGAGCTGCATAGAGAGACCCTGTCTCAAGAAAATGAAAAGAGCCCCATGTGTGTTGTGTGTATGGTGTGTAGTGTATGAGAGAGACAGACAGACAGAGACTGGAGACTAAACCCAGGGTGTGCTACCACTCAGCTACATACCCAACCCTTTTTAGTGTTTATTTTGAAATAAGATCTCATTAAATCACCCAGGTGGGATTTGAACTTGAGGCCTCCTGCCTCAGCCTCCCTGGGCTGTGATTCTGCAGGTGAGCACAGCAGATTGTGTTTGTTCAACTTGGTCCACTGCAGGTTCCAAGATGCCACCAGCCCCTCAGCCGGAAGGGTCGGGTCCAAAGGGAACAAGGCCTCCGCACTGCCACGTCAAGGCTGGAGTGGGGTCTCAGGTACTTTTCACGATGCTGACCCAAAGGAAAAGGGGGAAACTGAGCTCAGAGTCTGCGTACTGTCCAGGCCATAAGCCTCTGGCTCTAGGATGTGTGGCGAAGGGGAGCAGTTCGTCGAAGCGGAGGCCCGCAGAGCAGCAGGCGCACAGGGCAGCAGCCTCTTTCTGCCCTTGTCCTAGTCCACGCCACTGGGGTCCAGGCAGTGCCAGCCACTCAGTGCGGTTTCAGCCACTCAGTGGCCCTGCACCCCAAATCAGTCACACAGTCTGTGGTGACTGCACCCCCAAGCTCCTGTGAGGCTTTGGGGACATTTCCACAAGACCTAGAACAGCGTGAGCCCCAGTGTCCAAGTGGAAAGGTAGAAGGGGCTGAGGCTGGAACTGGACATGCCCTGGGCTGCTTGGGCTGGGGGGTGGGATTTGCTCTTCCGCTATTTCGTACTGTGGAGAAGGGAGGACCCAGTGGCTTTTAGGGTTTTGTTTTGTTTCGGTGGAACCAGGGTTTGAACTCTGGCCCTTATGCTTGCCAGGGAAGCACTTATTCTACAGAGCCATCTCCCCTTGATTTTTGATTTTTTTTTTTGGCAGAACTGGGGTTTGAACTCAGACCCTTGCACTTGCCCGGGAAGCGCTTGTTCTACTAAGCCATCTCCCCAGCTTCAATTTTTTAAATTCTATTTATTTATTTATTTATTTATTTTATTGTGGAACTGGGGATTGAACTCAGGCCCTTGCGCTTGACAGGCAAGTGCTTATTCTACTGAGCCATCTCCCCAGCCCCCTTTAATTTATTTTTGAGGGCTGGGGAGATGGCTCAGTGGAATAAGCGCTTCCCTGGCAAGCGCAAGGGCCTGAGTTCAAATCCTAGTTCTGCAAAAAATAAAAAATAAAAATAAACTGACCCATCCCACCACAGCACGTGATACCCCTTTCCTATTTAAAAAATAAAAAAATAATTTATTTTTGTATTTTTGGGAAGGATCTACGTGTTCAGGGTCTCACTACTAGATCATACTCGTAGTGATCCGTCGTCTGTTTACAGCCTCCCAAGTGCTGGGTTTGCAAGGTGCCACCACGCTCAGGCCCAATCACCCTCTTATCGCCCTCTTGTTACAGGCAGCGAGTTAGAAATATTACAGGCAGGCAGACAGGG